TTATTCAAATAATATGGAAGGGTATGTTATTAAACTGGAATAAATATGTAATAAAATGGAGTAATAAAATCAGCAAGCGTTGAATAGTTGTAGATAAACAAATTACATATGACTACAAAAAGCGACAATTTTCTTGATATTACTACTGACGATATTAAGTTTGCCTTCCTAATCAATGAATATTATGATATGCAGGTCAATTGTAAATATTGAAGCATAGAGAATAATCAGACGGCTATAATTACAACATCATATTCTTATTACATCCATTTTTTTTATTTATCTTGAATGTTCTACAATGAAATTGATCTCTTGGAAGAAAAACACTTTATACATTATCCTTTGGAATAAAATTATAAAGGAAAAGAAAAGCATAATGGACCTAGCATCAGTAATATATTCTTTCTGATTTTGTTTGCTTCATCAATCATTTACATTTGTTCTCCATTCTTGTTTTTCGAGTAAATTAACAGACGATGATATCCGGTGTCGTTTTTTAAAATGTTTCCAGTAGAAGGACATTACAAATTTATTGGGCGAGATCGTGCACGCGCAGAATTCATAGCAGTCACACATTTCATAGACTTCGTTATTCTGTATAAATCATTTTGCTGGAAACACTTTTATTTTAAAGAACCCTTTTTCTACGATGTGTGTACCACTGAAGTAACTTATATTCATTTGACATTTTTTTAATAGTTTCACCCCAAACAATAATGCCACTAAGGCACCAGGGTTTATTGAGTGTGAAAGAGAATAAGGAGACTTTAGTGAGGAGAAAGGACAGTAAGAACAGTATTCAGGAATACAAAAGATAGGGAGTGAGGTTGCATTTAAATTTTTGCAGTTCGTAGGTGACATCGAAGCAAGAAACCGGAAAAGGGTTCCCCAAATGTTGACTGAGGAAAAAACTATTAGAAGAGAATTTACGGTTACAGCTAATTATTTCAACAGTGAAACGATCAAATCTACTTGCCAATGGATGATGGATGAGGCCAGGAAATCCTAAATACGCAAAAAATACTTTTTATGAAAGCTATTATATATATATATATATATATATATATATATATATATTAGTGAATATACATAATATCCAACGTCAATAGCACGACTCGAAGTTTCACACAGTTTATGCAATCTTCAGGTGCGGAGATATTCTGACCGTTATAAACTTCACGTTCTCATGGTGACGGTTCAAAATTGTGTGTTAAAACTTGTTTATTTATTGTTGCGTAAAATATTAGAATTAGCTATTAATAATTCATATCATTCAAATTCATAAGTTCGAAAGTCGAAGAATTAAAAGAATAAAAAATAAATTTAAAAAATGAATGTGATAATCTGAATTTATTCTCATTTCTTTAATTAGCCATGAAAATATAGTCAATTACCTTGGTACATGGGTTGGTTCAAGTAATATATATCTATATATTTGTCATAAAATTGAAGCCATAAATTCATAAATATATTAATGTAGATATTTTTATCTTTCCTAAAATTCATTTACTTTATTTTCAAAATAACTTTTATTAAAACAGCACATAATACAATCGTGATAGACATTTATTTCCCAGAAAAGCAATTCTGGTTTTATGTGGAACTTTCGGAATTAATACTACGCAAAGGGGTTAGTGATGTGTAATTAAAATTATAATGTTACTTTTTCTAAAAAATATAATTATATTCTCCTTTATGGCCATAATGTTTTACATTCCATTGCTGATAATTTTGACTATGAACAATGGAATGTAGAACATTTTGATACAAAATTCTTACATATGCGACAGATTTCGGTAGTAAACGAAATGTTGCCACATTGGCAACGTTTTCTATTGTCAAGCAAACACTGAAAAAGGCAAAACAAACGCAATCAACCACACATGAATTAAATAATTTTAAGACTTATGAATGTACATTGTTGGAATATCCTTTGAGAATATCAATTTCAGGCCGGATATGAACTGTATATTTCCCATTGCGCCAAACTCATATGTTATTTCTAGATTTTAAGGTAATATTTTATATCGTAGTTGATCGTGCCTTTCCACAACTTACTATTTTCTGTTTCTCTAATTAATTCTTGCTCCTTAACTACTCCTCTTTATTGCATGTGTAGTCCTTATTCTACCATTCGTTTCAAAGTGTTCGTTTCCACTTGTTCCTGTTGCCATCAATGACTCCAGTAAGTGTTATATTCTCAAATACGTCTTTCCTCATTATTTGCCACAAAGATTTCACTTGTGTTTGTCTAATTGTTAGCAGCAGTCACTTTGTAGTTCTTATTCTCCTTAGAATGTCCTCGTTACTCATAAGTTCTGTCAATGGTAGTGTCAGTATTCGTCGGTAGAAACATCTCTACTGCTTTAGGTTTCATCTTCATCTGGGAGGAAACTTTTCCTGTCATATATAAGATTGGACAATATTCTTTCATTTGTTTCTCATGCCCTTTTCCGATGTCTTAATACTTCGCTTAGATTACTTTCGCTATTTCTATGCATCTTCGAGTATCTATGCCACACTTTCCGCCTACTGTTACAACACTACTGACACCTCCCTGATCTTGAAATCCCTTTTCCGTAGCTTGTGACTTTAGTTTTTTTAGCGTGTATTCTGTCCTCAGTTAATGATTAATCCTTTCTTATTCTTCCTCATTCGTGCTTTACTCGATTACCTTATCTTAGAGTTTATTTTTCAGTTTTCTTTCTGAATCTGCCATGAACACGATGTCATTGACTTAGTGTATGTTAAAGTTATGCCCACCAACAGGTCCTTTTCGAATCATCTCGTTGTACAGGTTAAATAATTTAATGCATATATTATTGTTGCACTACTCGTCAGTTTTTGATTCCAGTAGAGCTAAGTGCTGAATGTTTTAGTACGCAGCCATTGACAACCACTTGATGATCAATGCACAATGAATGAATGCCTTCCTCCTTAAACTTATTTGATATTTAATCATTATAAACCAAACTACCATGTGGGTTTTCCTATTGAAGATGTTGCAAAGTTTTTTTACAAATACATCACTGATTAACAACATAAAAGATTTTAATTAAATCATATCAAATAAAACAACTTTTCCTGGGCGATTTTCAACTATAGTTTTCTAATAAAAATATTCTTACATTAAATTCATAAGTATCGTATTCTCTTCGATAAGGAGAATATTCACTTTATCTTACTCTAATTGTTTTATTTGGACTGGAAATAAAGAAACCATTTTATTAATACATTCATTAAGTAGTTAAGTAAGCTCTACTATTTTGTTATCATTTATGAAAGTTTACTTGTGTAGTAATGAGGAATGGAAACAAAAACGCTTCAAACTATTTTAACTTGCAAAATTGTTGACTATATTTTCATGGCTAATTAAAGAAATGAGAATAAATTCAGATTATCACATTGTTTGTGTCCAATTTTTCTTGGTCTTTCCAATTTTCTATGCCTTACTCTGTATACGGAGGGTTTGACATCATTTCATATCATGTGTCCAGGGTAACTAGAGCTGGGTTCAATTCTTCTCGTTCGTGTTCCAAGTGAGCTTAGTTATGTGAGAGCTAAAAGTAAGAAGGAGCGAAATTGAAAGTTTCCTACACTTGGCTTTCATACTTATCCACACTCACAAAACACGCACACAAAAGACAAACATATGCAATCAATCAAGTGTAGATTGCAGTCTCATGAATTAAGCTTAAGAGAAGAACTACACTTGAAGAGCGTCAAGTATAATCAAGAGTTGCAAAAACATTTAGTTGCAAAAACATTTGTCCCCTGTTAGCATGAGACAAATGTTCCACCTAATTCATTAAAACAAGCATGTGGATAGGCGGGAGTATGATTTCTAAATTTGCAATCGAAGAAAAGATAAAAGGAAAAAATATGCGGAAAGACACAAATTCATTTATATAATAAATCATCTGAGAAACCATTTCAGCCTTGCATCAGCGTGTGGCTGATTCTAACCCCCAGAAGGGTGACTCGTTGCGACTTGTCGGGCTAGCGTTCTCGGCTGACATGAAGTGGAATGACTACATTGAACCCACTGCTATGTCAGCTGCTAAGGAATTTTCTTTATCTCTAGAATCAATCTTGCATATCTATAATTCAACCATTCATCCATACCTCGAATATTGCTGCTACCTATGGTCCGGAGATCCCGCTATATATCTAGAGAACCTTGATAAAATCCAATAAAGAATCAGGAATATTATTTGTCCTGATCTGGCGTTAGAGCTTCAGTCACTTTCCCACCGCAGTAAAGTTATCTCCCTTACCTTTTCTATAAATGCGTTCATGGTAATTGTTCGGATGAACTCCTTTAAAAAAATCTTTATCGCTTCGTCCCTCTTTTTTCTTAGTTTTCTCTCTTCTCTCTATTCTTTTCTTATACACAACCAGTTTATCCTGTCATCCCACAATATCTCTTCTGCTTTTTCACCTTTTCTTTGTCTTTTGATATCTTTAGTTTTTCTTTTTCTCTTTCCCGGAATTTCGTTCTATAATTCACTCGACGATTCCTTTTTTTTAGAATTTGCTATTTTGATAAAACTTCCTCTATCTCCCACGAGATTTTAAAATAAATATTTTCTATTTTCTGCTTGTATTTTTTTTTTAACTTCCACATTCTCTCCTCTATCTATTCTTAGTTCTCTTCTTTTCTCTTTCAAATAGTCTTTGTTATGCTACTTATATATTGCTCTATCCCAACCATATCTCGAAAGTTTAGCTCTCTGAGCACATTTTCTCTCAATCTCGATATATCAATCCAAATTGCAAACTGCAAATAAAATACCCACTATCAAACAGCTGCAGTAACAAGTTAACATTCTAAGAGAAAGTTGTTTACTCCGCCACACACAAACCTGGCGTAGATACACTGTATCCTCGTCCTTAACCTAATTTAACTACGTGTGCTTAGTGTTAGTTTTTTTATTTTTATTTTTTTAGGTCTGGTATCAAATACAAGTGGGTCAATGTACAACTAGTTGCCAACAGCATTAGCATCTACTTGCAAAAAATAAATGCATAAAATTAAGCTGCAGACGATGCAAGTGTTGCTGCGTGACGTCTTTTCGCCTGCAGTAAAACTGCATTGGTAGGATGGGGTAAGAAATGGGTGGTTTGGAGGATACATTTTGTGTGAAGGTGGAGAATAATTGCAAGTATGTATCGAAAGAAAAAAAAAAGACAAGAAAATGAGAAGCAGACAGAGAAGGAGCTAAGACAAGAAACTGATTGTGATTAGCACACGGGGGGCGGGGGGGGGGTAAAGCTTCATTTCGTTTCATCGTCCTCATGCCTTCACTAAATATCAATTGCAATAGATCCAACAACAGTATTACATATACATTGATACAAATATAATTGCCCCTACTCAAAGCGAAGAGAGAGAGAGAGAGAGAGAGAGAGAGAGAGAGAGAGAGAAAGAGAGAGAGAGAAACATTTGAAAAGAAAAATATGTGCATTTTAGTTATGAGATGATAAGCTCTTTAAGTGGCAAATTCTTGAAGAAGTAAACATTATTTGTAACATTTTCTCAATCTTTTAATTATTTCTCCGTTTTTAACTAACAATTTTCCGTCTCTTCAGACTAGTTTTGCCAATAATTTTCTTTGTCATTTATATTCTGATATTTATGTAATGAGAATTAATTTTTTAAAAATTGCTTATACTTATTGAACGGATTTTCGCTTCCTGTGCAAATTCGGAGGGTAATTTTTTCTCATCCCTCAGAAAGGTTGGTTAAGCTTTGTAATGCTTTTAATGCCTATAGATAATTTATTCTTATATATTTGACTATCTAAAAATAATTGAATTTTCTGAAAGGAAAATGAATTTTATATTACAAATAATATCCTTGTCGACAAAATATCAATATGTACTGTCTATTCATTTGTTCATGTCAAGGCATTGATATAATCATTCACATATTTCTTCCTATTTTCATTTTAAATTGATTAAGAAGTGATAATATGTTTAAATGATTAACAATCCGAGAAAGAACTGAATCCCTTCAAATAAAAGCAATACCAAACCCAACTAGAATGCTGAGGATAATGAAACGGTATGAAGGCGAGCCGCTACTATGTTATCTAAGGCTAGAAAGATAAATGAGCAAAAATAATAATAAATATATTGTGAACATACAAATGTATGAATGATAATAATAATCCCTGTGGCCTAGAAATACCGGGTTGGCGTCCGGCGGCGTATAGTTGTGTCGCATGAGGAGGAAAAGGTCTTTGGTCAACAATCCTCGCAAAGATTGTGTTTCGTTAAAAATACTGGTTGGTTGTTAACTATAACGCACACCTCAATTTGAAGTGAAATGGAAACAAATGTTTGTACAAGTTACAGCTTAAATGAGTCTGGAATCAATAGTGAAGGTGAATCGCCTTCAGGTGCTGCACTGTGTTAAGAGTCGTACGCATAGGTCTATAATAGAGACACTGAGAAATGAGTAAACTTGTGCTGAGCAATGATTAAGAGGAAATCAGAAAATAAACTGGACAAACGAATTGAATAAGATTATGATCAAATATTATAAACAGACTAGAGAAGAAAGGATATAGGAAACGAATGTTGAATATTTGGAATAAAAAAATGACTGGCAGATCAAGTAAAGTCAATTAGGCTGAATATATAGTTCTTCATTAGCGATAGAAGAAATAAAAGAAATGTTGAGGAAGTGCAAGATTAATCAAATGGACAAAAGAAGAGTGATCAGGCACGGACAGAAAGACAAGAAAGCTTTTAAGCATATAGAGAGTAAATCGTAATATAGACAGACACTAATTCAGCAGAAAGGGTGGAGAAAAGGAGTTAATAAGCGTTGAAGATTGTGCTACAAAGGAAGTGGAATGTTTACGCAGATACGACACTGAAAAGTAGGAACGACTGCTGATTACAATAGTAAAAAGGAGACGTACCTTGTAATAGAACGGAAAAAAATATATTCTTAAACCAAGAAATGTACAGTCAAAAAGTTTTACATGTGATTTTGTTTCAAAACACCGAACAAGGAGAGAGACCATTTGAATGGTTAAGAAAAGGTGATCCAAAAAGGATTGTTAATTGCAGCTTAGAATTTAAAGATTAGAACGAAAGCAACCAGTAAATACGTAGACATTTCAGCAGCATGCACATTATGCGATGAAGCAGATGAATCTATTGTACATATAGTATTGGATTGTTCTTTGCACAGGTTTACAAAATATCAAACACGAAGATTCAAAATTTATGAAGATTCAAACAAACAAGGTCAATGAATATTCTTACTCGGATAGAGTTGTTTTCAGTAAGGAAGACTGAGTTTCTTACCTTATTTGACGTTGCTTGTCCGTTTAAGACTAAAGTAGTGCACAAAGAAGGAGGGAAAATTGAAAACTATACAAAATTAATGTATGCAATCAAGAGAATATGGAATTTCCAAAAGGCAGAAACTGTGAAGATTGTAATCAGAACATTAAAATAGTGTCAAAGAATTTTACCCATGGTTTGAAAGTACTAGAATTACCAGTGAGACCTGTTTGCCTGACACAGCACAAAATACCCGAACATGATTGGATAGGTATGGATGTAGCTTTATAGCCATTAAGTATAAAACCAGCTAATGACTTCCAATAAGATTATTCCAGTACCATTATTACTTTATCATTAATATGGTAATGCTTAATGTTATTGAGTAGAATTGTAAAAGGCATACAAATTTACAAAGACTCATTGTATATGAATGATTTTAAAGGCTTTCTTAAAAGATTTGGTGACATCGGTAAAAAATTAGGATTTTCAGATATGACATCGGAAAAGAATTCAGTATTTGGGAAACATGCAATGCCTGTGATGTACAAAGAGAAATAAAATGCAAAAATTAAACAAGGAAATCACCAGGAAAATGAACGAAAAACATACAAGAATTTAGAAGCGTTAGATGCAAATTTATTCAAGGATAATGATATGAAAGAAAAATTCAGTAAAGAATATGTCAAAAGAACAATGAAAATATTAAATACAACAACATTATTAAAGACTACCTGGGTAGTATCTATTTTAAGATATTCAAAACCTTTTATAACTGAACCAGAAAACATGAAAATGTCTATACATAAAACCTTGCAACAAATGAAAAATTGGGAAACATGAAATTGTTTTAGTTACCATCAGTAACGAGATCGGAAATGTCTCAAAAAGAGTTAGAAAGAAACGGAAAGAATGAAAACCATTCAAATCTAATCAGTTTAAATTCTAAACAGTGTTAGAATTCGGAAAACCTATACTATTGTTGTAATAATTGATTAGGTACAATAATAATTTATATATTTACACGAAGTTAGGGCCATGAACCTAACCTAGAACAATGATAAAAAGAATGACGTCGCAAATAGAATGATAATACTATAATCATTCGAGTAAGGATTAAAGACCTGCTTGCTATGCTCTTCAGAGATACTGCGAAAGTTTCTGCAGATTTTTTAAAATGTGAGCATTTAGCTTTAAATGATGGCCGTCAGACAAGACTGTATATTTTGTTTCTTTTAATTTTAACTTCGTTCATTATAATACTATAATCATTATAGTCCCAGGCTGCTTTTATTTGCCATTCTATTTCCCGTTGAAGATATCTTTTGTACAACCATAGTCAGGTTATGTCACATAGAATTTCAATCGTTTTTTTTTCGCCAGATTCTGTTTTTTGTCCCTTATTTAATCTTGAATATATTTCTTATTTTTTAGATGTGTATTTATATATCTAGAGAACCTTGATAAAATCCAATAAAGAATCAGTTAGTCATTTGATAGTAGAGGATTTAATGTTAATAAGTCGTTTACCTTCCTTTTCTCATTACATGGAGTCTATTGTGATCATCTCTCTCTGGTATGTAAGGATTTATGTATGGTCAGTTTCCTATTTTCCGATTTCATATCTGGATGGAGAATATCATACATCACACTCCTGGAACGATGACAAGAAGGCCTTTTGGAAATTTAAGGAGGCTTGATCGCCAGGTGCATCGACAGGTTAGTACGGGTTTCAAACATAATGTGTTTGATTTTGCTTAGCAAAATGGGTGTGTTGGATAACCATTCAAAAGAAACTGGAATTGCCTGGGTCTATTCAAATGGAGTGATCTAGTTGGAATGTTAATGACGTTTGTTCCATCGCCATTTTCTTTCCTGGAAGAAAGAAATTTCGCTTCTTTTCTTTTTGTTTTCTCATGGAAGACAACTGACAAATAGATCGATGAAAAGGTTGTATTGAAATAGAAATTCTCTTGTTCGAACAACATTAGGTATAGTAATGACTTTTTCTCAATGTTATAGACAATATATTTGCTGTCACTTACTCCCTAGCAAAAATATACCAGATGTTGAATGAAAATTTATAATCTTATTATTCATGCTAAGAATTTTAGTTCATTTTTTGCTTGCATTGTAAATTGATGTATTTATTCCGTGAATTTTGGTCACGCATAAACACGCACATACGTACACATATGTCATCGTTCCACAAACTCTCATGGAGAAAGAATGCAATTTCAAATCCAAGAGAATGTATCTCACATTGTGATTAGTCAAAAAATACATATGAGAGGTCGGTTGTAAAAATAGGTACAGATTTAAATGTAGGTGAATAAACCTGAAACAGTTTCGTAGATATAAAATTGCTCAAAAATTCAAATTATGTACACAAGACATTTTCTTAAATGAGCTCACAAAAACATACATATTAAAATTTATATCTCAAAGCTGAGTCCTGACTGCGCAGTTTCAAACTAGCGTAAATGCATATATAGAATGAAACTCAGCTACCCTATGCATATTAGAAAACAATTAAAATATTAATGAATAATTGATTAACATATTAATTAACAGTTAAAATAGGTATGCTGTCTAAAATGAAATATAGAATGGATGAGCGAAGGAAGAGAGAGAGAGAGAGAGAGAGAGAGAGAGACAGTTTAATCGATCAAGATTTTATTATTTAATAAACAGAAGAGACCACTATTTTATGAGGACGAATCATATAAGCCACCAATCTGTTTATATGCACCTTGATTTATTGTCCATTCAACCTCCATTTCAGTTAACGCGATATCCACTTTTTCAAGTCCACACAAACGTCATTATACAAATCTATTATGCTCCTATTTGAGTCAATCGTTTATTTAAAAAACGTAGATAAAAAATATTTATTTTTAATATCAGTACCATTTACTTGGCTTCTATTAGAATGTTTTCATCGTGCAATGAAAACTTTTTTTTTCAGATTTCAATGTATTTTGGATCAGTTAAAAGAAATTCTTTGTATTTTAGCTAAGACGTAAAAATAAATAAATCTTACCACAAACTGAATATAGAAATTTATAGTTTCACAAAAGGATCTTCGTAATTATGAGGAAATATTTTGCTTGAAATTAAGGTTTAGTATAATTAAAAAGAATGTTTATGTGATATTATTAGGTTA